ACAATTGAGACGCTGCATGCTAGTATGTGAGGAGAAATGTAGGAAGGTAGTGGGTGATGGGGTATGCTAGATTTGATGTAAATTGCCGAGCCAGCATGAGCAGTTCCGTCAGGGTGGCATGAATAGTATGAATTAAAGCCATATATTTTGGCGCATGTGGTAGGAGTAAAGTGTGTTTCAGAGATAAGAGCAATATCGGTATTTGTGTTGGTTAGGATGTGCTGTAGTTCGTCTAAGTGTTTTCTGAGGCCATTGGCGTTCCAGGAGAAAATGGTTAATGGATGGTTTGCATTTGAGTTAATAGTCATTAATGATTAAAATTTTATTTATAAGAGTCGTGAGTAGATTTATTAGGGGTGTGATAAGGGATTGAAAATTTTCGAGAAAAGATGAAAGTTGGGCGGAAAGTGGAGGTTCATTAGGCTCCCCTTTTTGAGGATTAGATGGGCTGGATGACTTGACTGTGTCTGAATAAGTGCGAGGAAAGGTGGCATTGCTGAAGAGCTTACGCTTTGTATTGTTTTGTTGAGTGTGTTGTTCGTTGTTGTCTGGTTGGCTGGAGATGGTTGGAATGGATGGGTCCTTGCTAACGTTCTTCGTATTTCTGGATATTTGGAGTCCTTTGTGTACAGCGCATCCTCTGTAGTTGGCAGGGTGGTCTTTCCCACATAGGGCGCAGGTAGCCGGTAGATCCTTGGATTTTTCGCACATGTCGGTGAGGTGGGCTTGGCCACAGCGGACGCACCTTGGTTGGTGATTACAGTAGGTACGCGTATGTCCGTAGTTTTGACATCGGTGGCATTGAGGTATGTCACGTCTGGAATGAGGTTCTTCAATCTTGACTATTGAGTGGCAAATAGTCCTTAGCTTGAATATTTCTGGGTTGTTTGGTGCCGGATTAAGGTCGATGAAAAAGATAGGGAGTGGAGTGTTGGGTTGGTTTTTATTCTTTATGTTGGTAATATTTCTAACCGAAAATCCGAGTTCGTTGAGGTCTTTGGTGATTAGTTCAGTAGGCGTTGTGTGGTGAAGGTTTTTTAACACGTTCACCTCCACATGTATATTTCTAATCTAGTGCCGCACGCCGCGTAACTGTTGATAACATTATATGCATGACGATCCGTGATCGGCGGTGGCCACTGCCTATGTTATTGAGGGCAATAGCCGGCGCCGATCACGGATCGTCGTATATTTAGTTTCTATTTTAAGAACATTTTTTTTTTTTAATTGTATATAGTATAATGATAGATTTAAAATATGTTAATAAATATTTGAATTAATATTTACTGTTTTATAAAATAATACTTTTTTATGATTCCTTATCAAACATATATAATATTTTTATAAAATAAACAAAAATAACTTTGTAAGTCTCGTAAATAAAAATAATAATAACATAATATAAATTACAAATCTTCAGAATAGAAAATAACTTTGGAACTTTTGTAAATCAAAAAACAATAAAATAATATAAATAACAAATCTTCAGAACAGAAATAAAAAATTAATAAAATAAAATAAAAAATAGATAAATACATTATAAATTGTAATAATAATTAATAGTTATATTTTTTTATGGTATTCTTCGAAGCAACTTTCAAGACACAAACCTGGTTTTTCTTTGCATTCAATACAATAATATATTGTATCTCTACGAATGCCTTTTCCAGAACAAATTTGACAACGTTTGTATTTGTATTTTTTTTTTACATTTTTTTCCACTTTATTGGGAAAATGTGTTTCATTTTTTTTTTTCATAATTCGAGTATTAGTATCGAAAACAGTTTGATTATTTGGTAATAACGATTCAATCACTGATAGTCTAAATTCATACAACGATGTTTTTTTTGCATACTTATTATTTAAAAAATAAGAATTTACTAACAGCAAATGTATACAATGTATACCGACTTTTTTGTACCATCTTAAAGTCTTTCTTTCAAATGGATAATAGGAAGTCATCTGATCTTGGCGATCTATTCCAGACATATGTTCGTTATACTTAAGAACTGAAATTGGTTTTTTTAATATGTTTCTATTTTTTTCAATGTCCATCATTGAATGGGGAAATTCAGTACTTATTGTCAACACTTCTCTTTTATCCTTCCACTTCATAACACAAATGTTATCCTCTGTGTATCTGCATATGGACTCTCCTTTTTTTAGTTTTTGAGCAATTACTTCATTCGGATTATGCTTACGGTTAGAGCGTAAAGTTCCAGTAACATAAGTTTTTTTTTGTAACAGTTTTCGAGAAAGTTGAACACTGTTGTAAAAGTTGTCCATGTATAATGAACGACCTTTGTGATGTAATCCACTCATAAGATTTTCGACAACAAATTCTGTATGAGTCATTGTCTCGGAAACATCATGCCCTTGTCCGGAATAAATCAACATTCTGTGTATAAATCCCCACGATTCTGTAAGCATGTACATTTTAATTCCAAACTTATGCTTTTTGTTTTTAATATACTGTCGAAACATTAACCGTCCACGCCATAAAACCATGGACTCATCAAGTGACAGATTTTTAGTGGGCTCAAATATTTCGTTCATCCTTGTATTAAAATAATTTACAATAGGTTGAATTTTATGTAATCTGTTACGAGGAACAGATTCCCCTTCAGCTGGGTTGCGGGAAAAATGTAATGCTCGAAGTAATAGAGTAAATCGATTTCTACTCATATATGTACGAAAAAATGGTAAATTAAATAATTTATTTGTTTTCCAATAATCCTCTAATCTAGGCAATTTAATAGTTCCCATATGAAATAACAAACTTAAAAATGTTTTCATTTCCGACCTATTTGTATTTACCCATCCACTGATTCTAGCTTTGTCAGAGACAGAAATTAAAAAAATTTCGATGGCATAAATATTAGTTTCCTCTACAAGCATGTCTAATAATTCATCAGTTACTAATAAATTAAAATAATCAATAGGCTTGTCTCCATTTGGTAAACATTTAAGCCCAGGTGTAGCTGTAAATTCAAAATGGTTTACATGAGGTGAATCAGTCGACCAGTTAAAATTTGTAGAACTATAAATTTCAGATAAAACCTCACCGACTTCATTCTCTCCAGAACCCACAAAATCACTAATAACAATATTTTGTAAATCGTCACCTTCATTTTCTACATCATCGCCGTCAGAACCATAACTACATTCATCAAAATCATCATCAAATTCTTCGTCAGACGATATCCATTTATCATTTTCCAAAATATCAAGTAGCTCAGCATCCGATAATATATGTGTCTTCATATTTTTGATAGGACTTCGAGAGCGATCAATTCTTGATGGACCGGCAGGAAAGTCCATATTTAAGTAAAATATAAAATAAATAGATACTTAACTATAGAATACTAACTATAAAATTAATAATATGTCTAAAAAAACAACGGTGTGCAAAGCGCAGAGTACTGTATTTGTTTTCTAAAATAATAAACGAAAATACACGGGAAACAAGAACCGACTGCAACGTATTGATTATTAATACGTTCTGAATGGCCATGTTAAATATTGAAGCAGTGTGACTATGGCCGAGTTATTTATAAATATATCTAAATATAAGTACTAGTGACGATCACGGATCGGCGGCGGCTGTCAGCGCCCTACTACTAACGCCGATCCGTGATCGGCGGCGGCGGTGAACGTGTTAAAACTACTCGGTATGATTTCTCTTCCTTCGCTTGATAAGTAAAGTATTTCACAGAATTGTCGTTTAGTAATTTGATTACTTGACGAAAGGATTGAGAAGATTTTAGTGTTAATTTGAAATTTTTGGTTGTGGTTTTGCATAGAAATTCTTCGTTGCCGATTAAGGTTTTTATTTGGTTGCAGAAATTTTGATGGTTGACTGGTGTGGTGATAAATATTGGAGGAAGAGTTGGAGGCAGTATGGTGTTTTCGGTTTGCATATTTTCGTTTTCACCCTCCTTTTCAATATTTATTTCAGTTTCATTATCTAAGATGTTGAGTGCTTCGTAGCGGTTGGGAGTAGTATATGTAAATTTGTTTTGTTTGGTATTGATTACTTTAGATGCAGGTGAGATGCCTGGAGAATTAAGACGTTTTCCGGTTTTAATTATCCAATCTGGGCTGTCGTTTGGATTGTTTTGCGTGTTTTTAGCTATGACAATTTTTAATGGTGATTTCTCTTCATCATTTGAGCCGCTCTGTATACTGTTACGTGAGGAAGACGAGTTTTTGGTGAGCGGGTTATTTTTGGCCGGCATTGTACCGCGAGATTATCTACGGGACCAAGGTCACGTATGGGTACGGTACCTGGAGCCGACGCTTGATAATTAATTGGTCTAATTATTGATTACCTTGCGATGATAAATAATTGATCTAATTAGTTTTAACACTTATTTGACCGTAAAGGTTTGCACTTGCGGCCGATTAAGTGAAAGTTGTATGTAAATTTGAGAATTAATTCCTTAAGATTTTGATCTAAGTTAGAGTAAAATCGGATGCGAATTGCATCAGATAGCGTACGCATGGCGCGGAGCAGATTACACCGATGTGTATTGCTACGCTGACCGCGGTGAACTGCTGTCATTTCTTAGTTCTTTTATATTAAATAGCATATTTTCAATGTAATTAACAGCATCTAATAAATCTATATTTTTACCTTGTAAAAATTTATGTAATGGATTTGTCATTTCAAATATTTTCAAGAATATCAGACCTGTTAAAATAAAACGCTCTGTTAACATATAGTTCATTAAACTACCTGATTTAACACTACAAATGCGATCAGTAAATTTATCATCTTTTAGATCAAACAATGTATCAATCAGTGCATCAAAAGTCTCAAAAACTGTTTGAAGTGCTGATGCATGTGAAGACCACCGTGTTGTTTCAACTCTTTTTAATCGATGAAGTTGCTTTTTAAGATAGTATTTTTTTTGATAATCAGAATATAAACCAACACGTTTTTTGCTACAGCTAATGAATTCATACAGTGTTTCCATGTTTCCAAATAAATCACGAGCTTATGTACAGCTTGAAACTGCATCTACAATGATTAAGTTAAAGCGATGGGCATAACACCAAATATATGTTGCACATGGATTTTGTTCTTTAATACAACTCTGAAGACCTTTATATTCGCCTCTCATAGATGCAGCACCATTGAATAATTGACCAATTAAAAATTCCTTCCAATTTATAGACATTTCTTGACATATTGTCTCAAACATACCAAATAAATGTAGACCTGTTGTACATATGGTTTCTTTAACAGCTACTAAACGTTCATGCACAAAATAAGTATTTTTATTAACATACCGAAATATTAATGAAACTTGTTCTTTTCGAGAAACATCAAAAGTAGTGTCTAAAGAAATACTAAAAAATTTAGCTTCTATTAATTCTTTTTTAATAACATTTAATATATTTGTTGAAATGGCTTTAATTAACTGATTTTGACGCTGACACGAAAGAAAATTATTCGCTTTTCTACCTTTGATTTGGATTTCAGTAATATGAGATGCTAATGCAGGCGAGTACTTGGCCAATAAAACTACTAGATCTTTAAAGTTACCACGTATTTCTTCATTCCAACCTTCTCGATGACCTCTGAAAGATAGACAATGTCTGCCCAAAAATAAGGTTAAATCAATCAGATGACTTATTATTTCTTTATTAAGACATATGTCAGCATCCAATTTTTCTGTTATAGATGGAATAAGTGGAAATGATGCTTCTTTGTAACTGTGTTTAATTGATGACATTATGTGATCTTCGGACAGAGTCGGACTGGCCCCGGCTTAATTATGGTAATTGGGGGTCCTTGATTTTGTATCTATTTTTATTATTATTATTAATTTGGAGTAAATAGAAATACAAAATAAATATTTTTTCTTTCAAATCAGGAAACGTATTATTGATTAAAATCTTGAAAAATTCTCAATTAACTATTAAAATAATGACATTGTTATTATCATTCTACGAATTTAATAGGGAGCTGTTTAGTGTTTATATACAAATATGTATTCATAGATTATAAATAGTGTAGAATTGTTCAATTCTTGTGACTATTAAATAATATTATATTATACGGGCATATGCGTACAATTTGGTATTTGCATTAAGTACCGTTAAATTCTGATAGTAAATGAATTATTATATTTTGGGTAAGTATTGTACTCGTGCACATGAGGCGGCAGCCCGCAAGATTATAAATAGCTTGTAAAGTCAATAATATGATACAAATTACAAGAATAATAATTTATAGTTCAACAACGTTGTATTGTTCATTTATTTTGTTTAGAATATGGTTATTTGTTATTATGGCCTTAAAGCTAAATTTAAAGATTTTAATATAACATTGTCGGTTGAATGGTTAATTTCAAATTGACATCTTGTTAGTTGTTAGTTATTACTGTTGTAGTGTTGTCTGTTAACCGTTAACCATAATTATTTTAACCGGGAGTCCGTGATTCGTGAATCGTGATGTATAAAAGGAAATACAAAGCTGGTTCTGAAAAGAGAAAAGAGATAGAAAAGCAAAAATTGCTTAAATGTGCAAATGACAAAAGTCAAAAAAACTTAGTTTTTCTACAAATGTGAAACCACTGAAACCTGTGAAAGGTAAGAATATTTTATTTTATTTTGTTATATAGGTTGTTAAAATATAAGACAATAACGCATATTATTATTAATTATTCTAGCCACTTTTCACTATACATAAATAGTATGTAATTAATATAAATTATAGTCATTATCCAGTAGCCATAATATTACTTTACAAGAAATTTGAATTTTAAAATTTATTTTTTGAACTTCTAAAGTGTTATATAAATATTAAATCTAACTATCTATGTGTGTTTTCAATTATAAGATGTAATTGAAAGTATGGTTTCTACTGAATCGCTGTCGTTTGATATGAACCCAGTCTCAAAATTAGCTCTGTCTTCTATTACCTCAAGTAATTAAGAATTTAAATTTAAATTTTGAATCTATAAAGTATTCTAAGAATATAAAATTTAAAGTTTTGTGATTTTAATAACTAGGTGAAACTGAATGCATTGCTACTAAATTAATATTTGCTGTAGATCCAAATTCTAAGTTGGCTGATTCTACAATTTCTACAAGTAATTCATATCTTAAACATTATTTTTTGTACCTATAAAATTTGAATATTAAATCTAACTATCTATAGATTTTAAATTATTAGGTGAAACTGAAAGTATTTCTGTTGTGGATCCAAATTCAATATCAGCTGAATCTACATTTACTTCAAGTAGCTTAGCATTTTTTATTAGACCTGCCAGTAATGAATCAGTAGAAATCAAATTAGCTTTTTTAAAAAGTCATCCCATTCAACCTTTTGATTTAACTAATGATAAACTTCCATTTGATCCTCAAAAAATGTATTATCAGACTTTAAGTGATTCTCTAAAAGTTCAGCGTAAATGGTTATTTTATTGTTCTTACAGTAAAAAAATATTTTGTACTACTTGTATGACATTTTGCCCACTACGTGAAAACATTAGCAATTTAGTTACTGGATTAGAAGTTTTAAATTCAAAAAATGTATATGGTACTGTTAAAAAACATGAAAAATCAAAAACACATGGTGAAGCAGTTTCTGCTTTACTGCAAGCCAACTTAAACAAAAATATAGAGAGTTGTATTAATATTAATTTAAGTGAAATTCATTCTAAAGAAGTAGAATTTAATCGTTTAGTCATTAAATGGCTCATTGATATAATAATGTTTATTGGTAGGCAAGGATTAGCTTTTAGAGGTAAAGACGAAGCAGCTTATAGTTTAGAGGACAGGACTATTAATCATGGTAATTTTTTGGAACTAGTATTGCTAATTAAAGATTATGATGTATTGAATATGCATGTTAAAAATTGTATTGAGTTAAGTAAAAAACGTAAAGCTAAAGATAAAAAAAATGATAATAATCTTCCTCGGGCCCGTGGTAGAGGAGCTTTAGTAACATTTCTATCAAAAACATTTATAAATAAACTTGTTTTAATTATTGGTAAATTTTTACAAGAGAAAATAGTAAATGAATTAAAAGAAGCCCAAAGTTTTAGTGTTTTAGTAGACTCTACACAAGATGTTGCAGTATTAGATCAGCTTGCTATTTGTGTTAGGTATGTTAAAAAAAAAAATGTTTATGAAAAACTTTTAAAATTAGTTGTGGCTTATGATTCTAGTGGAATTGGCTTATACAATTTAATTACAAAAGAATTTGCTGAAATAAATTTAGATATGAAGAATATTGTAGGTTGCTCTTTTGATGGGGCAACTAATATGAAAGGGGTTTATAATGGCTTACAATCACATTTAAAGAAAAATACAAATCCTTCGTGTATATATACCCACTGTCTAGGTCATGTATTAAATTTAGTGATGGTAGATTCATCTGAATGTTGCAAAAATGCTGAATTTCTCTTTGGGTTAGTTCAACAATCTGCTAGTTTTCTTTTAGATTCACATAAAAGAATGAAAGTATGGTCAGATTTAACAAAACAAACTCATAAAAGTCACAATAAACTCAGAAAGTTGAACTTGATTGGAACGACCAAATGGTGGAGTAAAGACAAAGCATTATCTTCTATAATTCAGTTCAATGAGCCTAATGTAAAAGATTCTCGATTCTTGTTATTCATATATTTTTTATTGGAAATAACTTCTAGTGACTCAAAATTTGATGCAAAAAACTAAATACACGGCTCATACTCTTTTACAAAATTGGTCAAAATTTGAAATAATTTTAACTGCTGCTATTTATCTTGACATTTTTACTATAAGTTCTCCTGTCTCAAAATTCTTACAATCACGCTCATTAAATTATGTGATAGCTTTTAATATGACAACAAGTTTAGTAAAACAAATTAAAGAAAAAAGAAACAATGGTGATGAAACATTTAATAAACTTATTTCTAATATTCAAAATTTTATAAGAAAAATTAATGAGGAATTGGAATTAAATAATATAGATTTTAAAATAAAAGATAAGTTTAGTAAAAATAAATGTGTAAGTAGAGTGCCAAAAATAAAAAAAATGCCTGGTGAATTAACATCAGATGAAAGGCCTGACCTTTCCGCAGAAAAAAGATTTAAAGTAGAAAAATACAACTTTATACTTGATATTATGATAAATAGTAAGGAAAAAAGATTTGTTAATAATTCAAAATTACTTAAAGATTGTATTTGCTTAGACCCTAAAAATTTTAAAAATATCAAAAGTGGTTTACTTGAAAACTCACTATTAAAACTTGCTGAATTAACAAAAATAAGTGTACACATTTTAATTTCTGAACTACAACAATTTGCAATACAATTTGATTCAATAACTAAAAATCTTAATGACACATTTTCAAAAAATGATCTATCTTTTGACAATGAATCCGACTCTGAACTAGAACTAAATATTGACCACAGTTTGGAATGCAATACATGTAACAATTGTTTAAGATGTGCTTTTAATATTTTATACGAAATTGTTCAACAATCAGGCTCTTTTAATAATATATACTTGGCATATAAATTTGTTTTGACATTACCATATACACAAGTTACATGTGAACGGACATTTTCTAAACTTAAAAACATTAAAACTAAATTAAGATCATTAATTTCTCAAGATGTAATGGAAGCTCTGTTAATGATTAATATTGAAAGAGACTATGTTGTTGATAAGGAAATTGTTGTAAATACTATTGCTAAAAGTTCGTCAGAACTATCAAGGTTATTGATTTGAGATGTTATTCATTTATATTGTTTAATTTTTTTACCTTTTATATTTTTAATATTAATGTTCATTAAAATAAATATGAATCCATGACACAATTTGAAACTGTGTTTTTCTTTATAATGTTTGATATCACGGCGGTGTAGCCAGTGTATAGTATTTTGGAGGTTGGATTCTTTTTAATTTAATTATTGTGCCTATATGACTATATGAAAAATACATGATATATAATATATGTATATGATAAATATGGAAGATGGCAATCGTATTGAAAAAAAATTAATTTTGTATTGCGAGCGTAGCGATCTTTTTTTGGAGGGCTACTGTTGGGGGCCCTTTTTTTCCAAATTGCGGACTGGGCCTTTTCGAGCCAGTCCGAAACTGTCTTCGGAAGTTTCATGCATAATTATTTTGGCAGGCCCATTTTTCCATAAATTGAATCCATGTTTTGTCCAATGACAGTTAGATTGTTTTGTTTTAAATAAAACACAATAATGATAAAATACTTTATCAATTTTTATAGAGTAGGACAACCATTTTCGTTTCGTTACACTTACACCACCTTTCCAATACCAAGATTCATGAAAAGACCGACCAATCTTATCTTTTGGAAAGTGTTTGTCCGGTAGATCATTTGACAAAGGCTGTGAAGGTCCTTTTTTGAAAAAAAAACTACAAGATCCGGAGTGAGTTTTTCTATTTTAGTGAATACAACAGGATCACTATCCACTTCAAACATTATAAAAAGTTAATTTTAAAATACATTTTTTGGAATAGTAATAAGAAATATTCTCACTTTCTAAGTCATTGAGCACAGTTTCGTCTTGTTTTTCAATTTGTCCCAAATCAACAGTAACACCATGCTCTTCAAGCAAACAAATTAATTTTACTATACATTCATTATAATAACTAGGGAACAGATTTATATGTAAATGAATATTTTTATTAAAACAAGATATTTAAGATTCGATAAGAAATGTTCATGATTTAAATCATTCCTATTAAAATTGTGCTACTTTAATTTTACATATTTTTACATATTTTAGTCATTTTTGATTTTTTCATCAATTTTTGACAACCAAACATTATCTTATTGATCAAAATTAGATCCAGAAACTTTTATCGCTCTAGGAAAAGCTCAATATATTATACAAAATTAAATATTGAAAAATAATTTAATTTTCATCTCAGTGAATTTAAGTTTTATTGCACATACAATTACAAGATTAGAAACAAAAAATATGTCCTTAAATGATAGTATACAAATTGTTGAATCAGCGATTAGAAAATTAAAACTCGTAAGGAGATGTCGTATAAAAGAAAATTGATGCTGTTATGTAAAAAAATTCAGGCTATATTGATTTTAAAACAATCAATGATATCAAGAGTGGCAGACACGCTTCTAAATATTTGGAATTATCGCCTTCTAATATTATGCGCTTCAAATATGCTCCAATTACATCGGTTGATGTAGAACGATTATTTAGTCGTTTTAAAAATATTTTGAGATCTAATAAGGGACATTTTTACATTCAATAATTTAAAAGAAATTGTTATAATTCAATGCAACAAATCATTTTGATAATTTAATTTTTTTCCCACACATTGAAACGGTACAACTAAACATTAATATTTTGGAAAAAGGCTCTTAACAGAGCCAACAATTGACACAATATTACGACAACCAATCATAACGCAGGATGAGCGCAAAACTCCACATTTTGAACTTAAGGATTAAATCCAAGTCTTCCCGTACAACATATAGACATCATACATACATCGGCGGATAGGGGAAGATGAGACAAAGACAACAATGTTTTATTCATAATTGTACATCAAAAAACATCAGAGATATGACTAAATTCGTTACAGGACAAAACACAACGATCTACCGAAAAATCGAGGTGTTTACTAGTCGATACGGATAGTAGTACTTATACTGGTATGATTCGGCAGTGAGACCAGTTTCATTCCACAGTTATTCTTCAACCTTACACCAGTAAACATCGAAGATTGAAGATCAGAAGAAACCTCAAGAGTGACTACCAGCCATAACGACCGATACGATCCCGTGTGCAACTCTTACCGAGCATCGCCACATTTTGACCGTACGGACGCAAAACGGTGACAACGGATCTCGCGGCTCTACCAGCCATAAACAATCGATACGATCCCGCGTGCAACTCTTAACGAGCATCGCCACATTTAGATCGTACGAACGAAAAACAACGACGTTCCTGACGTTCGAGAGTCACGACCGTCGAGCAACATCCGACGTGATTCCGGGCGTGATTCACGCCACGCATCTCCACAAAGCCACACGACGACTCCTGGGTGTTGTGGATTGCCTGTTATATATCTCTGTCCACGGAACTAATCAAGTGGTAACCTCTCGTTATATCCGACGTCGGAGAATGGTGTAAACCGGAACTTCGACGCGGATACTCGATGCGCCAGGGGCGGACTGGGTAGACGACAGGCATACCTTTAGAGTCAGTGATTTTAATACTTCGGGCCATTTTTTACAGAAAATTAATAAACTTAATAAAGTCAATTTTTTTTATTATTTATTAGTTATTACCTTACATAAATATGATAATATTAAAAGACTGGCTACAAATGTTAGTGATTTTACTGTACCACGGCCTAGCCCACGAACATACTACAAACTATCTGCTATGTAGACAGCAAAATAAGATTTACAATAACCACATCATACAACAAATATTTAACATACATCTATAAATATTTTTGTCAGTATAATGATTATTCTTAAATAATTAATTGCAACTAATAAAAATAAAATATAAAAGTACAATTCTGATAATAATATATATATTTTCAATAAATATGAAACATCACTAAATATTATTGTAAGTATAAAAATTACCCAATAAGCATCCTTTTCATTTCCATGGAAGTGGCACCTAATCGATCGATTATAGTATCATGAGGTACAACCATGCCACGTTCAAGATTCATAAACATGAATGCTTCTAATTTGTCGTTAGATAGAGTTGACCTAAGTCTAGTTTTTATAGTTTTAAGTATTGAAAAACTCCTTTCACAACTTACTTGAGTAAAAGCTATACTTAAAATTACCTTATATACCGTATATAAATCATTGTAATTTGATGTATGAGTCACTAATGTGTATACATAGAGGAATGCACATGAAATACACGATTTACAACGATTTTTTTCGGATAATGCACATTTTAAATCATCTTCCGTATCTGTGTGGTTTTCATTTTCTTCTTCGAAAAATTGATCGTGACAATCTTGATACAAAATACTAGCATCTATATTTGCTATGGCCTCGTAATTTTGAGCAAATTCTATCAACTGACGTTGAATATCTAAAACGTCGACCTTGGCCATGGATGCGATTTTGGACAATGATCCTTCTGGAAACATGAATCCGGGAGTTTTTAATTTTGAAAATGTTCTTGGATCAAAAAATGCAGCATCTTGAATTAGATCCTCGTTGATCATATACCTAAACAAGTAAAAGTAGTATGTCATTAAAAAATATTGCTATAACTATAACAGTAAAAAATTAACAAAATTAATATTTTCAAAACATAATTATACTAAAACATACCTATTGCTTAATTTAACGAGTGCATTGTTATAAACAACTTTATAAACTTCAACTTCAAACAATTTCTTTTCATCAACTAGTCTTTCGTCTGCTGTCAGTTCACCGGACATTTTCTTTTTAAAACGCGTTCTTTTTTTCATAAAAGTACTTGACCAAAATATGTTATCTGTTCCATCCATTTTTTCCAAAATTGTTTGTAAATGTTCAATAAATTCAGTAGTTCTTACAAAAATAATTTCAAAATTATTAAATCCTTCGATTAATTTTGCTTTTAAATTATGCAACAGTTTATATCCTTGTGTATAATTTAATTTTTTCGACTGTAAACAAGATGACGCAGTTGAACTTAAAACGAACAGTGACTGGAACACATACGCTGTTAGTATAGTTTCAAACTTCAGTATGTTGTTTATAATATTCAGAGCTTCTGATTTTGCACCAAGATCAAAATCTTTACCATTTGTAATAGATAGTAATGCTTTGATTACTGTTATAAATCTATGTTTTTCTTTAGTTGGTGTGAATAATGGATCAAATACGTTATTTAAAGCAACATCTCTGCTCCACCACCTAGTTTGTCCTATTTTTTGAAGGCGTAACATTTTTTCACTTCCAACAGAATTTTTAATAACATTTTGTTTCCACATTCCCATTCTTTTATATGATTGACTAAAAAATATAGCCAAACGATCCAGTAATCCAAAAAGATTTATAGCTTCTGAACACGAATCAGAAGCTTGTGTAAGTGTAAGATTTAAAAGATGACTAAAGCAATGTGTGTGAATAGATTGAGGTGCATCTTTTTTAATGAGAGCTTGTAAACCATTGTGAATACCACTTAAATTCGCGGCGCTATCGTACGCCTGACTTACAATATTAGACAGAGATAACCCAATATCTTCTAAAACATTTTTAATTAAGTTATATAAATCGATTGCCTTTGATGATTCTACTGGTAAAAATTTAATTAACCGTTCTTTTACTTCAGTTTGAATCACATAACGGACACATACAGCCAATTGATCGGTTACACTTACATCCTGGGTGGAATCTATGAGTAAACCAAAAAATTTTGCTTTTTTTACTTCTTTTCCAATTTCCTCTTGTATCCACTGTGAAATTAAATTGATTATTTTATTGATCGTAGTTTTTGAAAGAAATGTAACAAGTGATCCACGTCCACGTCCTCCACTTAAAGTTGTACGGTTTATACTTTTTTCAATCGCAATATTTAGATATTTTTCAAGAATTGCGTCAAATTTAGACCAACACATCAATAACTCCAAAAAGTTTCCATGGTTCATACTTCTATTATCTAGTGTGTATGCTTGTTCTCCTCTATGAGGTCTATAAGCAATACCTTGTCTGCAAATATAAATAATTCCTTCAATTATTCTTGACAGGAAAAGTCTATGTTCTTGAACTTGAATTACTCGAAGATTTCGTTGATTTATATCAATAAGAGACGAAACGTCTTTAACTTTTTTTGCTTGCATATAAGCGTAAACAGCTTCATCGTGTGTTTTAGAATTTTCATGTACTTTAATTTGTTTATAAATATTTTTTAGCGCTTACTTGTACACCTTGTACAAAAATGGAATCTTTGGTTACTGAAAAGGCTAAACACACGGCACAAAAAAGCTTTTCATTTTTCCTATCAAATGATAACCAATTTCTAGGAATTTGAGTGTTATTAGTATTAGATAATGGACGAAAATATATTTTATATGCGTTAAATGGTAGTTGATCATACTGTGGCTGTATGGGATGATTTGACATAAAACGTAGTTTTTCAGCCAACGAAGAACTATGAGAAAGTGCTTTAAAATTGTTCGAAGATATGTCTATCAGAAAATTATCATCTACATCTGATTCCGAATTCTGTGCTACTTAATCTTTATGTAGAGAATCATTGGGAACAAAATCACTTCCAAAATCAACTATATTACTTTTATCAAATCCAATTGATGAAGGAATGGAAGGCTGTATATTAACATTAAGATCTTGTATAAATTCATTATTTGAGCATTTCATGTCAAGCATTTCATCTTTCGGGATATTAATAGTGTTAGTAATGGAATAACTATAGTTATCATATTGTTTTTTAATATTACTGCTCAATGGTTCAGAAATTAATGGTTGCATATTTACTATTGAATTTTGTGTTGAGTCATTATTAGTAATTGATGGTACTGTGTCAAAATGCAATGCAACTTCAATAGATGGTCGGGTGCATGGTATAAATCCAAAATTTAATTTTTGTTGATTTTTGTCGTGAGCAATAGCTTTTAATTTTTGTCTATCAGTTTCTTTTTTTCTTGCCCATCCAGAACTACGTTTTAATTTCACCGGGTATTTATTACTATCGTCATCACCACTACGCTTGTCCATCTTAAATTGAAGATATGTTACTAATCTAAATCCCAAACAGTATTAAATTAATATATTTAAAATATTTTAATAATTTTAATATTTTAAAATTTACAAAAAATTAAAACAATTAATTTAACCCATCATTGTACTAATATTTAAATAAATTATTGATGGTAGTATAAAAGACTAGAGTACTCGAATACAAGACCGTTTTCGCTAAAAATTACATTTTTAATACAATGATATACCATTGAATACAAATTTAACACAATATAGTATATTCATTATAGCAGTGTTTAGAAGGTTCAATAAAACAGTAAACACGTTCATGGTTAGTTCACGTAAAATTAAACGCGTTCTTTCAAACACTGCATAATAATATTTATAGAGACCCACTTGACATTTTATGTACAGTAGAACATTACCCACTTGCGACTATAGCCCGCATTTTAATATAAAAAATAATAATTAGTAATAAAATATAATAATTTACAAATTATAAATTTTTTATATTAAGATAAATTCAGTTTTTAAATTGTTTGATATTATTTTACAAAATCTAATAATCGTGACTAAGGTCTAAAGAAATTAAGTAAAGAAAAAAATTAACATTTATTTTATATTTTTTAGTCTTTAATAGTCTAAACCTATAATTTTAGTTGTCTCGTAGTTATTATAAGCTTTCGCGCCAGGCCCCATACATGAGTAATACCATTGATTATAAATACTATAGATAGCTCACTGCAGTATAAAATACGCTGCGCGTTGAGTGGCGGGTGCCGCTACGAGGCGTTCCGCGTAATATTTAGTTTTGGCGGGTGCCGTAAAAATCGCTAGTATAGTTTATAGAAGTGGGGATCAGTTTCAGGTTCTTTACAGCAGTGACAGACGTCTTAAATCCTGATTTCGATTATTGCTCCGATTATAATATAATAATATGCTCTCCGCCGCGGCACCGCACCACTAATATACCTATGAATGGGAGGCCTTCAAAACATTGAACTTTATTCAATTGAACGTCAAAATATTAATTAAACGGAGCCACAGTATAAATCACTTGTCTTTTATAGAACATAGCATAAAAATAGAATAATATTGTATAATCCCGCACTCGCCGCACTGAACCATACAACTATAACCATACGTCACGCCGTCATAATATAGCTGCTCCACTGGGCCAGCTACGATAACTTTATTATTATATATTTTTAATTGGCGATTGTATATTTGTATATTATATTATTATTATCACATATAAATAATAAAAATAACACTCTTATACGCCACGAACCACAGCTAATTGATACAAAATTATAAAAATCATAAAGGGATTTCTAGAAATTAGATGCGATGTTCTCACTCGTCGTTGTGATCATACTATAGTATATAGGTATTATTGTTTACTTCGACCAGAATAAAAATTAAAACAGACAACAGTTAACACTTGACAGTCATCGATCGTCTCTGATCCTATTATCTATGTACTGCGTTATTTTGATTGCTTGTGTTTATGAATTTTAATTTATTGTGAAAACTAAAAATCATCTCCAAATTTTTTTTTATTGATTAACAATGTCCGAAGATAAATGCGTTTATTTTAATTGCAATTTGACCAGAAGGACTTCAAAAAATATTTTCCATCCGTTTCCAGCAAAAATCGAATTGCATAATCAATGGATACTTAATTCTGGCAAGTATTTATTTAAAGTATTTATTTTTTTTGGCAAGTTTATTTTATTCAAAATAAAAAATATTATAAAAACATAAATTATGTTTTTGGTTAAAATAAAAATTATTTTCCATATTATTTTAGGAAATATTCACTTAGAAAGTTTGAGTCCGAAAAAATTGAGAAAGAGGTATATATGTTCCAATCATTTTGATGACAATATGTACATGAATTCGAAACGAATGAAACTAAAACAAAATGCGATTCCGAATAAATATTTAGCAGGTAAATCAATAGTAAATTAGATTAAATTTTATTAGTTTCACTCAATGTATATAAATAATTAATTTAAATAATAAATCATACATTTATGTTAATATCAAATTTATAAAATATGTTGTTCCTTAGGGCGTTATTATTAAGTAAATGGATATTTTTAAGAATGTTTAAATGTTATAATTTTACGAAAAAGTATAGACCAGTGGTATTAAAACTTTTTCATCTCACGGCTCCTTTATATCTATATGATATTCTAACAGCCCCCAAATTAGTAATGACAAAAAAATCAATGGTTTTATTATGTATGTAAATTATTATAATGTGTTAAGGGGCCTCGCTGTACCATATATTTAAGGAACAACATTTAGGCAATTTCCAATCTTTTCGTCGCCGCCCGGGATCTATGTGTTAGTTGTAAATGAATATTAGTGTGCGTGTGGCTCAATGCGGGTACCGCTTCATCCGCACCACCAACCAAATAGACGTAATCATTATCGCAATATTGCATATCGAATAGTCATCGGAAATTATGTTTTCTCGTACGACAAGTAGTTGCAAATAGTCTGCAGTGTGTAACGTAATTAGTATTATTTATTAGGTAGGACTATCAAAAATAGGAAAAAAATGATTCTACCCTTTTTTATTATAAAGTATTTAACTCCGCAAGTCTCGCCCGAGCCTCGGTTAGCTTTAAACTTGCGATCAAAATATATGGAACATAATAATAATATAGGTTGAACATTTAAAAAAAAATATGGCTGAAAAGGGAAAAAACGAAGCATAAACATCTACTTTAATAATTTTATTATAAGCATTATAAATTATTACATTATTACTTATTTTGTGATAAAAACACATCTTAAATTTTTGATAAAGGTATTTTTTATAATACATAATAGAATAATAATTATTATAATAATTGTGATAAAATAGTATTAAATAATATTTAGATAAAACTATAATAAAATATGTACAATGTGTAATAATTCAAAGAAGTATTAGTGTAGCTTATCTCCTTTTTTTTTCTTTCTTCGTTTTTGCTTCCATAATATAACTAGGGTGTCTTATTGACATACTTCTGGCATGTCTGGGATCAACCAATTAATAAATATTTGTAAGTATAAACTTAGTATAATACTAAAATATAACTAAAAGACTATTATTTTTTATTATTAGGGATAACTGTATACAGTAAAAAAATAATAGTCTTTTAGTTATATTTTAGTATTATACTAAGTTTATAATGATATATTGATGATATTATATAAGTAGGTACCAACAAATTTACAACTTTATAATAATTACACAAGAATAAAATATTCATTATATGTTAATGTTATTGTATAGTTTCTATTGCCTATGTACCTACGACGATTCTAGTTTTTTTTTTTGCTCTTGTTGAGCATCAATAATAGATTGCGGATTTCTAATTGGTCTTCCTGGATACCTTGGGTCCACGATCTCAGGTAGTAGACAATCATAAAAAAATGTTTGTAATTTTGGAAACATTTGTTCTTCCCAGAATTGTTCATCAAAAAAGATTGTTTCCGTTTTTATGCCTTTTGGAGTCCACACAGCAAATACACAAAACTTTTTTTGTGCAATTTTCATTTGTCCTTGAACTTGATAATGGTACTTATGTCTTATTTTGAAACTTCCAATACTCCCATCTTTATTTACAGACCAAAAATCAATTTTTTTATTTAATATGCCTTCATCGGGAGTCATATTAGCAGCAGAGTATGGACATTTTATTTCAACCAGTCCATCGTCGTCCAGTAAACCATCTGGAGTTGCTCCTAAAAAGAAATGCTCTGCATCTATAAAAATACCACAGTCTCGTATAGGCTTGTTCAACATTTTTTCAAGTTCTTTTTTAGCGACAACCTCATTCTCACGACCATAATCTAATGACTGTGCCATTATTTGTGTGTTATATAAAAGACTCTTGACAATATTTTCACAGCCAGTATATGGTCTTCGAGAGATGATACGTCCGAAATTAGAAGCCGTTAAAAGCCTTCTTCGTACTTCATTCCACTGTACATTTTCATATTGTTCGATAGTTTGTATTTGAATATCGTCTCTCTTTGATGCTACTTCTTTCATTTCATTTAAAATATCTTCTTTTTGACGATTAAATTCTAAATGATCCATATCGGGTCTAACACTATTTTCTCCATATGATAAATCTGGACCAATGTTTTTAAAAAGTTGTTTTTTAAATCTTTTATTTTTTGTTCTGGCAATATTTTGAAGATTTTGTTTTTTCTTTCTTTTTAATTCTACTGCACTTAAAAATCCTCGTTTTGATGGACTTTTATGGTATAACACCTTATGCAGAGAATAAAGCGGGCGACTTGTGTTTTTGGTTACGGCTGCTAGCATGCATCTGCCAGAATAAGAACGATTCATTGCAAAGTTTATACGTTTTCCACCGATTACTTTTGCAATGATGGCATTGTATGATTCTACTATATTGCTGTCCACATCTTGTAACAAACTACCACTGTGTCTTGCCAAGTTTCTAATATGTTTCATTACATTGGCATAAAACTCTTGATCCGTCGATTTGATTTTTTCTATGTAATCTGCAATGTCTGTTTTATTTTTGACACAAAAATATGAAGCACACTCTTCATGATGCCCAAAAACATGATTGATACTATTCATTATATCTTTTCTAAGCTCTGCAACAGAATGACCACTCGTCTTACGATACATTATAGCAGATACGATACCCCGACGAATTCTAAGTATATTACCACTCAACATTTTGCGAAATTCAAGCTTACCCGATTGTGCTTTCACAGTCATATCTTTTAATTTATTACAAAGATTTCGTAAAAGATGATTCCTACATTCCACTTTTTCTACAGTTAAATTTTTATATGGTCTTGCCTCTAAAATTTTTTTGTACACGCTACTGTCACCATCTGCGATAAACTTATTGTATCTAATACCATACATCTTCTCGCTTTGTAAAAAACCTTCAACAATAATTGATGATTCCATGCCTGATGAACTATTTGTACCTGGCCAGTTTTTAGAACATTTGTGCGCTGTTAGACTGTCATCTGTTTTTTTACGGGCACACATTGAACAGTATTTATTTTTTACACCAAGGAAAAGCAATTTTTTTGTTTTGTAACCAATTATGGCAGCCTGAAATTGTAAAATAAAGATATCGAATATAATACTCAAATCTAACTCAATTACTATTTATACTCGCGTTTATTTTATAATTTAAACAAAACGGATTTAATTCATCATTATTTACTCCACATTTTGATTTCATAAACGAAGTATTTGGTTAACTCAAAGTAAGTAGGTATTAGGTAGTAAGTAAGTATACGGGTCGAACCGTTTTGAAACTTTTCAGGAACCTTATATTGAATTTTGAAAACTATTAGCAATTAAAATCAAATATTTCATATATTTTTAACAAAAAATTATTTGTAAACATTTACGATTATGTAATTTTAGATTCTGAACAAACTGATGAATATATTGATTTTACATTGATGAGTTTTTGTTGAAAAATTTGGCTGCCCAAAATATCATGATAGTTTAATACAAGGTTCCTTATAATTTGTTCATATCGAAGTTAAAAAAAAATCAAAAATCGTAATTCACAGTTTTTTTTTATAAGAGCTTAAAGTTCAAATTTTTACAAAATATATCAAAATCGTGAAAATTCGCAAGTAATTTTGTAGTTGAAAATGCATGGACGCTTTGGATTAGAGTAGGTCAGTATGATGTGTGTGTTAAACTTAAATGCAATGATAGCTGGTATCATTGTATACGAAAAACAATTCTGAATGAAGATGATTTGTCAGTCTAGGATATAATATTATCTTTAAATATTGTTATATATTTTATTTTATTACAAGTATTTTATTTTTAATAAGTTTGGTGGTTGCATAATGCATACGGCATGGTTAGGTACTTTTTTATCATAACAAAAATCAAAATTCCTTTGATAGAAAATCATTTTATTACCAATTAATATTTTGATTTTCTGAACATTAAAACTTTAAACACTCGTAAAATTGTTTTAATTGAATAACACACAAACTTTTTTATAATTATTCTAAGCTTAACGTATGGACAGCAAAGTAATACATTTTAAATTCTTAGCTTTTAATAGTAAAATTTTTATAAATTTTGATTACAAAATAGTTAGGAAATATTCATAATTTTGACGAATTTTGTCAATATTTGAACTTCAAATATTAATAAAAAAAAATTGTGACATACGACTTTTAATTATTTTTTTATCTGATAATAACCACTTATGAGAAATCTTGTATTAAATTTTCATGATTTTTTGGGCGGCCCCAAATATTTTTAATCGATATTTCAAAAAAAAAAAAATTTAACTAACCATAAATAGCTCAAAAAAAGTCCAAATACTTTGAAAATTTAACCGTGTATAGTGAACGCCAATGACAATTAACATTTTGTAAAAATTTCAAGTATTTCAAGTTATTATTTTTAGGGTTAGAGTAAAATAAAATTATCGATTTTGTCGAAAACTGGTTTTTCGTAAAACTCCTGTTTTTCCGTTACTTTTTTAGGGTTATTTCCTGACGCTTTTGAAAACTATTGAAAATTTTTAACTTTTGACCTCTATAATGCACCAACAATATTCACTTTTCTATCAGAAACGGGGCTGAGTTCAAAAATCAAAGTACTATTACTGGTAAAAAAGCTTTCCTCAAACACAAAAAAAACAACTACACACATCATTGTAAAATCAATACATTCATCACTTCTTTCAGAATTCAAAATCTTATGAACGTCTGAAATTTAAATTTTTACAAAATTCTGTAATATAATGACTTATCCAAAAATGATTTTAGATATTTGTTATGAAGTTATGTTAACCAACGACTTTGGTAAAAGTTACAGTTTACTGTTTGTGTCTACCTTTTGTCATCTAACTAACCATTTTTGTTAATTGGCAAATCAATATTTTTTTCAGTGTAATATTAAAAAATTATAAGTCGTAAATTCTTGAAACTTTTACCAGTTGTTTAGATCGGCGTTTTATCTGTTTATAGGTATTTTAAATATATGATTTTTAAATTTTTAAATGTTGACAAAAAAAGTTTCGCTGGGACAAATACTGGAAAATTTAATAGAGACTCCATAGAGTTGTTTTACTGAATTTTGATTTTTGTTATTAATAAAAAAATATAATATATCATAGAAACTTGAAATTTTCAATAGTTGTTTAAATTGGCATTTTATTTTTAAAATATTTCACTACCTAGCTTGTTTATCATAAAATATTAAATCAATAAATATTTTTGTTTTATTTAATTTACGTTACATTACTAATATCAGTTAGGTACTCACCGTGCCAGATAATGAGTTGTACATTGTTCTGTACGATCGTTTACACCAGCTTCCATCTGCCACAACTGTAACGAGTGGAGTTCCGTCACTATCAATATTTCCTGCCAAAATTGCTAATCCTGCTTCTTCTTTAGCAGCCTCTTCCATTGCATTAGCTGCAGCCTTTTCATATCCCAAACAAACAATACTATGATGTCTATCATATATATATTGTGACATAGGAGGTATCTCAACTGCACATGTAATAGTCTCCAACTGGCTAAATCCCGCTCCAACATTCATATTTCCGGCTACAATCGCTGTATTTAGATTCATTACTTCTTGATCTATTTTTTTTTCTGAATTTATTAATTTTTGAGTCTTACACAACAAACAAATAAATTTGAAGCTTGATATGAATCCATCCTGTTTTTCATTCACACATACCATGTCTTTAAAGGAACATTCGAAAGGTGTGTGGTGATCAGCATCTACTATTTGTTTAAAAATATAACCTATGTCGACAATTCTACGTCCAAATAAAATATGTATTCTGGGATCATTGTTTTTAATGGGTGAAGTGCTAATATTCAATTTTGTATTTTCTATATCGGCAAACAATTGAGTTGGGTTTTCATTTTGCATTTCAGAAATTACTGGTGATTGTAAGCTTGTATTCGAGTTTTGATCATTATTACCGTTTTTTCTATACAATCCAAAAATAAATAATCAATATTTATAATATTATAATATTATAATGCAACATCTAAATAAATTTATAAAAAAAAAACACTTACGGAGTTTCATCTACATTTCGTTGTTTCGTGGTGTGTGGGTTTCTAATTGAATTTATAAATCCTTTGTGTTTTTTTCTTTTTGATAGTGGAATTTTTGTTTTCGGTGTATATTTTGTACTCATTTTAAAATAATAAAATCGAACTTGACTAGATGGTTGTCGACTGTCAAATAATCCTAACATTCGATCGCAGAGGATAATAATTTAGAAAAACAATTATGCCTACCTATATAATACCTAGCCACCTAGGTATCCAAGAAACATATAATAATATAATACTGAACTCTAAATATATGTATTTACTATTACTAAAATAATTACTATATCAAATTAAAAGTATAGGCGCGTTATCTGATCTTTTCTAGGAACGCGAAGCGACGGTAATTATGGTCTGTAGTGGCCAGCGGGTACGGGGGAACTCGCCCGCACTCGCACGCACATGTCATATACTATTTTGTGATCGCGAAAAAAAATTTAAATTTTTCACTCAAACTGGCAACTCTAATTCCAACAATACGTCACAATGAATACCTCGATTTTTAATCTGACAAAATATTCTAATTTTCCACAACATGTACGAGGGATCGACCGAGACACATTTTTATGATTGTATCTAGTTGACCAAATATTTAAGTTTGAAATTTCGCACATTTTTGAACATTTGAACAAAATTTATTGCAATTTCAATTATAAAAATTAAAAATGTGGCTCGGTCGTTCCCTTGTGCATGTTACAGAGAATTTGAATATTTTTTCAGAATGAAATTTGTGTAAATTGTCAACGCGTAACGTTGGAATTAGAAACAGTAGTTTTTGACCAGAAAACGCACATTTATGAGGCCCCTTAATATACAGTAGTTTTTGACCAGAAAACGCACATTTATGAGGCCCCTTAATATTCATTTATTTATCATACGACTGAATAATAAGTCAATTAAAAAATAAATAGGTAGTAAAGAAAAAATTTAATTAAATATTTATGATTGGTAATTTTTATACTCTGGTTTTTGCCAGGGCTC